TGCTCAGTTAATTGCTCACATGGTTACCAGAGCTCGATTGATACTGGGTTTCTTGGGCCTGTATATTGACAATAAATGTATAACATAAACACTTAAACAACTTACTGTAACTGCACACAAATATATTTGGTTTCTGGACACAGGTCACGTTTTTAAGCTTGGATAAACTATCCATGCAGATAATTTTGGTCTCCTAGTATGTTCAGTATGGGGTGTTGCAAAGCTCCTTGTGTGAACTTTATTCATTTACATCCCATCTTGCACTTTGGGCATTAAGTCATTTTCATATCCAAAGCATGCGCAACAGTAACTTAGTATGACCTTCAATTTCACTACTTGCCAGAGTTTAAAGCAGCCACTAGAAGTGAGTGTAGTGATCAGAGCTCCTCTGGCCTGAGTGACGGTTCACTGTGAGAAGAGTTTCAAAGTGGGAATGAAAGTCAGCACCAGCAGAAGGCAATTTCTCCTCATTGTAGTTTTAAAAAATGTCTGCCTGAGCCAAATGGTGTGTGCTCAACACCTCACACACTTAACACTTTGGAGAAGAATAGACTGCTGGTTCACACAAGACACCCCCCATCCTTCATATTTAGTAATGTGTGGCTTCCTAACAAGATGAGAATGCTGGACAACAGCCAGAAGCAGCTTTCATCACAAAGTATTCATGGTTGAATTCCAGATTCAAGCTGATGAATTACAGATTCTGTAGCATCACTGACTTTTGCCAGTGGACAAATCTTGCTGCTGTATCCCATCTGAAGAAGAATGCACTACTGGAAACAAACAAAAACAATACATTTTATCATGGTGAGCAACCCAACTGACAGAAAAAAGTGGCATTGTGGCAAATGACGTGGTTTTCTGCAAACCATGAATACATTACATTTTCGCATTATAATGTGGTAGTTATGTTTAAATTTTATGTTTCAACAACACTGTGGTTAACATGTGATTAGGTTTAGACACAAAATCACGTGGTTATGCTTCGGAAATGATTGTGTTTTGGTCCAGAGTTTCTGGTTCTGGTTTTTGGGACATGATCAACCCCCAAAGCTGAAAAATTAAGCCAAAGCAGAGGTGCTAAAAACTGCAGTTCCTCTAATGGCCACTTGAGGCTGGCTTCAAAACAGAGTAAATCCCCATAGACCCCCATGTTAAAATGGCTAACTTTACAGCAGAAATAAACATGTTAATAGCCTGGTACAAAAATGTTTTTTGTCTCTATAGCTAATTTAAACAACCATGACAGCTGTACAGGGGGTAACTTACCCGTTAACATTTTATTAAGGCCCAAAGTTACCCATATTTAAGGGTGGGTGGCGTTCAGTGACAGGCTGCCTGCTGATAGTGTCCTCAGCTTCTCAGTCAGATCCACTTCTCACTCTTTCACAGCTCCAACCTCTCATCCAAATATGGTCACTTCTGGCTCCAAAAAAAACAAGATGGTGATGGCTGAAATGCCAAACTAGAGGCTTCAGAATGATGGACCACAAACCAGTGGGGGACTTCATGGTAGCTACATCCATTATTTATACAGTCTCCGTGGAAAAACAGTGAAAGGTCACTACTACATGTCTACATTTTGGAGCCCAAAAGCTGCAAGAAAAACAGCGATGGGTCTTTAAAAAAACACAGCACTGTAGAAACTTATAGTTTGAATTAAACCCTACGTACAAACGTATATCTGTGGTTTGCAGAAGTGTGCAGTGTTAAACAGACAACAGCAGAAAATATCATTATTGCCTCAAGGAAGTTATGTCAATTAGCTACAGCAAATAAAAACAATTATCTAAATTGTCACCTTGCTAATTTTCAGTCATTCAATAACTTGATTAACCAAACAATTGTTTTCAGAAGTACATAGAAGCATACTATGGACATAAATGCAATAGACTGATCATTAATTTGCTCTCTGGTTTGCAAATTTACTTTTTTTATGGAAATCATCAGCACAGATGGAAACTATCTTCTACCAATCAGCACTCTGATTAGACTTTCTGTTCTGAAATCAAGAAAGAGTCAATATTTTCAGAGGAACACATGTTGGCATGTTTAGTTTTAGAGACAAAATGCTGAGATGGAATGAGCACTGGTAATTCTTGTGTCAAGTCTGTTTTCTCTGTAAGGGATTCACAGGAATGAAAACATTTAACATATGGTCAAATTTAAAACGCATGTCACAATGAAGGCACAAGTTTATAATAAAATTCCAGATTGCATTCTGAATTATGTAAACGAAAACAATCTTTTTTTTTAAATGTGGCAGAATTAAAAATTAGCTTTTGATTTGTTACTTGCTTTGTCCATGGTGCCTCCACAAAGACTGGGCATTGTTGTGAGACTGTCAAAGTGGAAGATGACAAAAAATACATCATGTGACTTAAGATAAAGGATATGGTGCTAAGCTGATCACCAAATCAGACATTTGTGTTACACCAATGAGTGCCAAACTGCAGCAGCCACAGAGGCAAGTAGCAAAGACAACTGATCCACCCTCTGGCGGTGCACTGCTTGAGGCGCTGATGACACCTGGCAGCCTCGTCAGGTACATTTCCCTGCTGATTGCACACAATTTGCAGATAAAAAATAAAACGTTGACCTTGTGTGATGGTCGTCAAGACTCTACATGACTGTTACCTCTGACAGTAAAACACTGAAGAGCAAACAGAGCCAAGCTGGTAACCTTTGGGAGTAACAAAAACAATCATAGACAGATGGTGTGAAGTCCCTCTCTCTCGCCTTGACAGTTTTGCCTCTCTTCATCCCTCCCCCCTCTGTCTCTTAGTTACATCTCTCCTGTCTTTCGCTTCATCACTAAATACCGCTGCCTTTCTCTCTCAGTCGGGAAGTTTCCAGCCTTTCTTCATCCCCACTGAGACACTCAACATTCAGTCTCCCACAGAGACATATGGGAGATGAGTTTGGCCCACTTTCTAAACTGTGTTGCCACAGTTATAAAAAGATCCATTGAGACTGAAGTGGAAAAGACTAAATAGGTGACTGCAGGAAATTGTCTGGGTTTCTAAGCACATTTTCTGGTTGGGAACTGTCAGCACTTCTGTTAAAAAAAAAAAAAAAAAAAGAAATGCTGGCAGTCCTCCCCCTGCTGCCCTGACTCAAATCAGCCCAGCTTGGCAACTCTACACAGGTCTCGAAACTGCGCCTTGTCCATTGTCCCCCTGTCTACACATCCCTCGGGACTGTGTGGCCAATAAAGGAATAACCCACCCTAGAACTCCAATAAAAACAGTAATCAGTTCTGTAATTTGCATACCTGAGTCTGCATAGTTGTTGGGAGTTTTTTTACTGTTTCCTGTGGGTACCTGCCAGAAGCAGCAAACATGCTGTCACCTCTAGATATTTCCTGCAGCTACAACTGAATGTGAAAGCAAGAAAAAACTTTTAGCTATCTAAAACTTTGGCAGGAAGTGTCAGATTTTAATTCTGATCTTCAGCACTCAAGACAGAACAGAAAGAAACCAATTGGAGAGGAGGTACAGGAACCACAAATATAGGAAAAAAAATCTCTTGTCTTGCTTGTGATTGTTTAGATGCAATGTGGAAAATGAGGTAATTTGTTAGCACATTATGCTTTGAATTTGTTTCACAGCCCAGATGTCAGAAGAAAATGTTGGCATTGTACATTTCTGCAAACCAGGAATATGTTGCAATTGAACTTTTCATATTCATCATATCAACATTTCTAAAGTAACACAGTATATGAGCTAGTATATGAGGTTATGCAACCTCAGTCAGAGGTTAGTTCCAGCCACCTACAGCCTACAGCTAATGTTAACTAGCTCTCCTCTTGCTGATGTCAGCACAGATTTTTTGTTCACAATTTAGTATTATCAGCTAAACAATAGGGTTGTTCCCTGAAATGTGCCAGATTGACAGGACTTAAGTAGTTTGGATCCCCGCTTTTAAGCCTGTGCAAAATTGACACAAAAGAAAAACATTGGTCACTGCCATATGCAAATGCCATCTTATTTGCCTATAGGTCGATGGCAGTCAACAAAGTGAATATCAGCCGATACCTGACGTGCGGCCGATAAATGAGTGCATTAGTGTATCCATGGTGTGCAGAAATGTATAATGCCAGCCTTTTTTTCTGTTTGTTGGGTTTATTGAAAAAGACTTTAAACTTAGCAATTCAGACCATAAACTCATTAGGAAAATGTTTCATGTCATTTCAATGACTTACAATCAGACTTCTCTTTCCAACCATTGGAGTCGCCACCTGCTGGCCATTAGGAAGAATGCAGGTTTAAATTGGCTTCACTTTTCAGACCCAGAGATTACATCTACTTATTTTATGTAGTCTTTGATTAAGCCCCAACCCTACCCCTAACAAGTTGACGGCAGGTTGTCTCAGTCAACTTTATAGTGTTGATACAGCAAGTGAGTGTTGCTACTGAACTAGCCTAGCACCAAACAACATAGTAAAAAAAGTGGGGCAGAGGGCACAGAGAAGCTGAGTGGGTTTCTTTACTCTTTAAATTATGACATAAGATTATGTGTTGGTACTCCTGTCTTACTGCTGCCCTGTCAGGCTTGTTTATCAAAGGATACTCACTCACATTTCTCTCAGGATCTGTTTCTTAGAAAAACATCAGTTGTCTGTAGCTGAAGTGTAATGGCTGCAGCCTGACACTGATTGATTAACAGACGGCGGTTTTGCTACTGTCTCAACTTCGGCTTCACTTCCTCTCTATAGTCTGAGCTCTGTCACTCTGTCATTGATAAGACACAAGGAGGAATGGAGCCTCCTTTTAACCATGATGCTTTCTTTCTCTCAGTCTGTCTTTCATCTTGGTCTGTCCCAGTCCTCTCTCCTCGTCCCAATGATGGTTCCTGCTGATTGAAGGAACATGTCACTTTACCAGCCAAGTTGCCATTTGGCTGCTCTGCCATCCTCTCAAGGCATCTGTCCTCTTATACCCCCCTTCAGCCTTTTCCCTCTTCTCACCACTTATCCTTTTCTCTTGGTCTCTGTGCAGGGAATCTTGGCAGACTTTGACGGACAGCTGGCTGAGCAAATGACAAACTTTGAGAGCTTTTAACGCATGTCTGCTGGGTCGTCCGGTCAAACCAACGTGGGCGTGTGCACCACGATTACGTGAAAGTGAACCCGGATGAGCGCCAGCACTGCTTCGTGCCCTGTGAGAAGAGGACGGCCCCCCTCCCTGCTGAAGAGGTAGGCTGCTGTTCAGTGGGAGACATTTAATGCAACTGTCATGGCGCCAGTGACTGTGGTTTTCAGATGAACTTTTAATTTAGTTTGATAACTGTTATGTCCCAGAAAAAGAATGTAGCCTCTAAATCTTGAGCTTCGGTTCAGTGACATCAGGCTTGATGCTTCTTCTGCTTCCTGCCCATGTTTGGCTGAGCTTGTTGGTGACAGATCAGGTCTGATTTGTGGAGGTGATTGCCATACCAGGAGTCACATAAAGCTGGGGTGTGTCAGACTCAATCCATATATAGGGCTCACACAGTGGTTTCTCCCAGCTACAGTAACAGTGCATGAGAAAGATCAAGGATCAAGGATTCATTATTGTCATTACAGTTATGCAAATACATGAAAAGAATAAAATGTAGAACTCAGGTCTTTTTGAGCATTGCATAATGAACATTGTATGAAACACTAAGTCAACAAATAAGGAACTGACTAAATAAATAAATACATAAATAAGTGAACGGTGCAATGTGCAATCAACACTAAAATCCTAAAATCTTGAAAACTAAGAAACATAAAAAATAAAATGTGATTTAAATATCCAGATCACAATAAAAGTTACTATTAAAGTAACAGCAGTTCAGGATAGTGTGGTTCAAAAATGCAGTGTAGTGCAGTTTATCTGTCGTATAGCATCTGGAAGGAAGCTGTTCCTCAGCCTGGTGGTACTAGCCTAGATGCTGCACAGCCTCCTACGTGAGGGGAGGGGTGCCAGCAGTTCATTTGCAAGGTGGGTTGAGTCCTTCATGATGCAGGAGGCCCTGTCCCTGCATCTGCTGATGTATATGTCTCCAATGGGTGGTAAACCGCAGCCGATGGTTCTCTCTGCAGCCTTAACCACCCGCTGCAGTGCATGTCTCTCTGCCATACCACGCTGTGATGCAGGAAGTGAGGATACTCTCCATCATACACCTGTAGAAGGATGTGATGATTTTAGTGTCCAGTCCTGCCCTCTTCAGTTTATTCAATTTCAGAGGCACTGGTGTGCCTTTTTAATGATGCTGGATGTGTTGTTGCACCAGGTGAGGTTGTGTCAGCCCTGCCGAAGTCCACAGTCATCTCTTTGGTTTGACTAACATTGATGATGAGCCGTTAGCAAGGTGTGTGTATGCAGTGGCGGATGAAGTACCTGAAAGCCACACTTGAGTAAAAGTACAGATATCTTACCAGAATACTGTATAACTTTGGTCAAAGTTAAAGTCACCTGTTAGAATATTACTTCATTGTAAAAATATACATTTTATTTAGGGAATGTAGTGGAGTAATCCTAAAAATTCTTAAACACTGCAACAATGTTTTATTACTTCCCTACATTACACCACTGCGTGTATATGTGTGTGTGTAATTGAACCTACAGACTGACATGCATAGCTGGTAGACATCCCTAGTGTGTAGTCTCCTGTATTTACTCAATTGTTCAGTATTTGCTTAATCATGTTTTCAAATTCTGAACATTTCATGTTTCGTCATTCTGTCTGGGTGTCTAGTCTTTGTAGGATATTTGGAATGCACGTTGGATAGAAATAAATAGATTTGGCCCTCAAGTTAGATTCACTGGACTTACTATTACTTTATAAGTAACCTGAGTGCATTGCAGAAGACAAATTCTCCCACAGGGATTAATAAAGAGTTACTCATCTTATTGGTTGTTGTTGGATCTGACACTCAGACATTTCTGTGGTAAAATGTCCTCTCTCCACTTGGCTGGAACAGGTATGATGGATTACTGTTATACTGACATAGTTCCTCCTTTGTATTTTATAAGACATTAGTTGCTGTCTGTTTTAAATAATTTATTTGTGCCTGCAGCACTTTATTTTTTTATTGTGTAAATTATATTCTCTCTTTTATCTCTTTCCAGTAGGCTCATTTGAATTATGAAACAAATAGACAAACATACAGCAGATCTAAAGATGTAAAGCCATGCAGTTTTAACAGTATTACGTATTCAGTCAGGGCTCAGCGTGTTGAGATAAATTGCCCATCGCACTGTTTCATTTTCACTCAACAGATCTGTGAGCTACCGTTGAATTGTGGAACATTTTTACCCACAAGATAATATGAAAATCAATGAAACGCTGCAGACACTCCTGCTGGGTTTCTTACCTCGATGTCAAACATGATCAACTCCCATCGGCCTTGGCTGCTGGGTAAAAAAAAAGAAAAAGAAAAAGAAAATTGCCCCCAAAACACCCATTGCTCCTTGTTTGACATAGCTGCTTTCTTGCAAGATAAATCATACCATTTGCATTAGTTGAAATGACTGCATCCTTGGTTTATTCTGTGCTTACGTAAAAAGCGGTAAATGAGATTTAAAAGACACGTTTAAAGGTTAACACCCAGAAATCTACAGCAGGATTTGATGGGCTTCAGTGGCCTGAGGGTGACCTCACTGACAGCTTTTTACAAACTCATAATAGGAGAAGACAACATTTGCAACAACTCGCAATTAGAGAGAGAGAGAGAGTGTGTGTGTGTGTGTGTGTGTGTGTGTGTGACTTCAGCTAATGCAGCCTTAATAGCCACATTAGTTTCTTTGCTCCGACTGAATCGTTTGAAGCAACTCAGACTAGAAAATAGGTCCATTAGGTAGCTATAGATCTCATAACACACACACACACACACACACACACACACACACACAGTAACACACTCACACACACTAAACTGAGATTCTGAGACACAACAAACTTGCATGCACATACACACATTTATTCTCTCCTTCTCGTCCTCATAAAACACCCCCCTTCCAGACACACACACACACACACACAAATATGCATTCACAATTTGCCTTTATTTTGTTAATTTACGCACTTTCTCCTTCCACCCCCCCAACCCCCACCCCCACCCCCCACACACACACACACATGCGCGCGCGCGCAAACAGAGTCATGTCTTTCCCTGCTGCCACTCTGTGTCTCATTGAAGACTTTTCTATCAGAACTAATTTGCCGCTGCTGCATTCACTGCAGCGGTGACAGGAGTTTCCTAATGTGACAGAGTGCTCGCAGTAATGGCAGGTGTGGGCCTTGAATCCGAATTACAGTAATGAGATGAACAGGCCTAATGGTCACAAGCAGAATAATAACAAGTACAGACGCAGGATGAGAGTAACAATAATGAGAGCGAGGGCTGGGACACGAGTCAGACGGAGAACAAAAGCAGACTGCTGCTCCTGTGTGGGGTTTGCTCTAATGAATGAACAGAAGAGCGGAGAGTTTACAGATCAGTTGATGATGAATATTCAACTCTGGTAGCTTAAATCAAATTTTTCAAGTTTTTGAAGTTAAAGTTAGTTGAGCAGAGTACAAAAAAAGTGCAGCTTGAATACTGAAGAGGTTTCCTTCACCGCCTCCCTGTTGTTTTTGTTGTTGAGTTCTGCAGTGTGACGAGAAAATGGTCTTATAAATAGTCATCATTAGCAGTGAAGCTGCCATGTACATGCGTATTCCTGCAGAGCTGTTTGGCAGAAAGTTTGCCCTCTGTTATCATGTGCATGTGACGTTTTTGGAATAACTGTGTGTGACCGAAAACGGTGCAATGAAAACCTTTTTCATTATTACTATGTAGCCATCGTCCACCTGTATGCAAGTGCACCTCAGTGTTGGAGTGAGTTGCAGACTCCCTTATTATCTTTTAACAAGTCCCTCCTTGTCAACACATGTCTGGTTTCTTAGCCTGTGCTGATGGTTACAGAGCCAGGAAGGTATCAGGTGTAACAGCAATGTGCACAGATTAATGATCTGTGCTCTTGACTTTCACATCTTCAAATTAATAATTCCTACAAACAAAATAACAGAGCAAAAATATCAAACATTTAATACATTTCACTATGTATTCGTGGGATGATAACATAGATGTATAAAATAATTGGTGTACCCACTGTGATGTCACCCATTGGTTCATAGACTCCTGTTTGAAGCTTTGAGTTTGGCATTTTGACCATCACCATCTATGATTTTTGGAGCCAGAAGTGACCATATTTGGACAGGAGAGTGGAGATAATCCTAATGCTAGCTGTTAGCTTAGTTAGCACGGTGCATTTACAGCTAATTGTGGTAATGCTAATAATAATGATTTTTGCCACTATTTCATCGGTTTTATTTTTCAGCCCCAAAGATGCGGTATGGATCATAACAAAGTTGAGTTTAACAGAAAAGAAGTGTATCTGCATATCCCTATCCAGATTCAAAACAAACCTCCAACCAACTCAAGCAGCTCATTTACATCGGAGTGTCACTGTTTACAGTGTTTTTCTGTTTCTGTCTTACAGCATCAGGCTATGAGTTGCTTCAGGGCTACACAGTTGTATATTTGGAACTGATAGCAGCCAGAGTTACAGTGACAAACCGGCATCAAGAGTAAAGAAAATGCAGTGTTGACAAAGGAAAGTGTAGTGCATGTGGCAAGCTGACAATATTGATATAAAGGAACATATTCAGTATTCTTTACTTCTTAACTGCCTAGAACTACTGGGGCTCTTACACTGGTCAAACTCAGTCCTCAAGGCTGCTACAATCTGTGTTCAGCTTCAGTTACACAGTTAGAGGGCACTGTTTTTCACATGTATTAATATAATGATCGAGGGTGGACATTGCTTGTACTGTTAATTGATGTTGAAAACAATACATTGTAGGCAGCTTCCCAACAAGTCTGAGAACAGTGAGATAAATGCCTTGAACAGAAGCCAACAAGAGAACTAGAAGACAAAACAAGTCAAATTGCAAACACTGCATCTTAAAGAAGGCTTCATGGTCAGTCTGTATGACCTAAAGTTCAGTTATTAATATGTGCTCTAAACACAAAGGGACTTTTAGCTCCTGGGATTGAATATGTTTCTCTGGATAAGAGTGTTTGCCAGATACCATAAATATACCTGTAGATGTAAATATAATGCTGCTGCTGTTGGAAACAATTTGGCAAATAGAGCAGGTCGGTGTGTGTTGCTCTCGG